GTGTGCTGGTCCCGGGGGTTAGGTACCTTGGGTGTAGCAGAGTCCACACGAAGAGGGGCAAGGTCCGAGGCAGAGAGCCGGGCGGGGAACAGGAATGCTGGAACAGGAGGCTGTGCAGGGAACAGGAACACCGGATGGTCGGGAACAGGAGGCCGAGCAGGGAACAGGAGTACCGGATAGTCAGGAACAGGAAGCCGAGCAGGGATCAGGAACACAGGAAGGTCCGAAGCCAACAACGACGTTGCTCCCGCAACCTGGGGCCGGGCTGACTGGGCTTTTATCCTCTTCTAAGGCCAGGGGCGGTCCCGGTCCCCAGGAGCCCCGCCTCCTCTGGCCTTAAGGCGAGCACTCCTCCTGGGGGCAACCAGTTCCCTTCGCCTCTCTGCCCTAAGCCTCTGCAGATCAGGAGAGGCCGAAGGGTTACTGGGCCCTGGAGGAGGCTCACCTGTGGCCACTGAGTCATCAAGCCCCTCTGGGGCCCGAAGGGCTTCACCTGGGGCCAGCTCCTGATGCACTGCCACAGGTGCAGGCTCTTCAGCATCAAGGCCTTGCCCCAGTTCAGCCGGCCCTGGAGGCGGGGACTCCTGTGCAGGCCGGGATTCCTCTGTTTCATCCTCCGAATCGGAATCCCAGGCCATCACACCATCCCCCTCCCAGGCCCCCTCAACCGAGGGTCCGGACCCGGCTTGCCGGGATACGTCGCATGGAACTCTCGGAGGCAGGCAGGTGCATGGACATTGGCCGCTGGTTCCCAGGAACGGTCCTCCGGTCCGTACCCCTTCCAGTCAATGAGATACTGCAGCTTTCCCCTGCGGTATCGGGAGTCCAGGATGCGTTCCACCTCGTACTCAGGCTCTCCCCGAACCAACACTGGCTGCGGTCGGGGACGGTTCTGGTGGAACTCGTCGGGTGGGGCCACCGGACTCAAAAGGGACCTGTGGAAGACCGGGTGAACCTTCAGGGTTGCGGGTAACCGGAGACGGAATGCCACAGGAGAGATTTGGTCTACGATAGGGAACGGGCCGGTGAAGCGGGCGTCCAACTTCCGCGAAGGTCGAGAGGGGTGGAGGTGGCGAGTGGAGAGCCAAACCAGGTCACCGACGCGAGTTCCGGCCCCACCTGGCGGTGGCGGTCGGCCTGGGCTTTGTACGCTTCCTTGGCCTGGTGCAGTTGCTCCACCAAAAGCTGTTGCTGGGACTGGAGCTCTTGAAGCCACTCCGTCACCGCCGGGACCGCGGATGCCGGCAGCACCTCTGGAAACAGCCGTGGATGATAACCATAACTGGCCTGGAACGGGGTCTGCTGGGTGGACGCATTCACCGCGTTGTTATAGGCGAACTCCGCCAATGCCAGGTGGTCGACCCAGTCATCCTGCTGGTAGCTGCAGTAACACCGGAGGTACTGCTCCAGCACCGCGTTCGCCCGGACCGTCTGGCCATCGGTCTGTGGGTGGTAGGCTGACGAGAGGCAGACCTCTGTCCCGAGGGTCTGGTGTAATGCTCGCCAGAACCGGGATGTGAACTGAACGCCCCGGTCGGACACCACGCGCTCAGGTAGTCCATGCAGGCGGAAGACATGCTGAAGGTACAGCTGAGCAGTTTCCTTGGCTGTGGGTACAGATGGACAGGGAGCGCAGTGCACCATCTTGGTGAAATGGTCGGAGAAAACCAGAAGGCAGGTACAGCCACGAGACGAGGGTAAGTCCACTACAAAGTCCAACGAAACTGTGTGCCAAGGGCGCGGTGGAACTGGCAATGGCTGAAGTAGGCCGGGGGTCGCCCGGTAGGCCCCTTGGCGCGTCGGCAGACATCACAACCAGCAACGTAGCGAGCCACGTCAGCCTTCAGGCGGGGCCACCAAAACTCACGACTGACCAGATGGGTGGTCCGATACCGTCCAAAGTGCCCCGCTGCCGGGGCATCATGGGCCATCCGGAGAACCTCCAGCCGCAGTGGCCCTGGCGGGATGTACAGACGACCGTGGTGCAGCAGGAGGCCCTGATGCAGGACCAGCCCCGGATACTGTGGGCTGGACCCTTCAGCCAGCTCCCGGAGTCGTTCCTGGGCCCAAGCGTCGACCCGCTGCTGTTCCCGCACCCGAACCTGCAGTGGCTGCGCCTCCTGGGTGGCCAGGAATGCGGCCGGAGGTAGGATCGTGGCGGGTTCTGCTTGCTGTACCGTGTCTGCGTTGTCTTCAGGTTTCCGGGACAGGGCATCCGCCTTCAGATTCTGAGAGCTAGGGATGTAGCGGATCCGAAACTGGAACCGGGAAAAGAACAACGCCCACCGGATCTGTCTTTGGTTCAGCTTGCGGGTGGTCTGGAGGTACTCCAGGTTCCGGTGGTCGGTTCTTACCTCCACCGGATGTCGTGCCCCTCAAGATGGTGGCGCCAGACCTCAAAGGCTACCTTGATGGCCAGTAGTTCCCGCTCCCACACAGTATAGTTACGCTCCGCTGGTAGGAGCTGGCGGGAATAGAAGGCACAGGGTAAGAGTGGCGCTTCGGGCCCAATCTGTTGAGACAAGACGGCACCGAGAGCCGTACTGGAGGCGTCGGTCTCCACCACAAAGGGTCGAGAGGGGTCAGGATGTTGTAAGATTGGTGCCCTCTGGAAACAGGCCTTCAACCCCTGAAACGCCTCCTCTGCCTCCTTGTCCCAGGAAAACGGCGTCTTTGGGCGCAGTAGCCGGGTCAACGGGGTGGTGCGATGAGCATAATCAGCGATGAAGGTCCGGTAGTAATTGGCGAACCCCAGGAAACGTTGTAGGTCCTTGCGGTTCCGGGGTGCCGCCCATTCTTGAACCGCTGTCACCTTCCCCGGGTCCATTTGCACCCCATCCGGAGAGAGCCGGTGACCAAGGAAGTCCACAGTCCGCTGATGGAACTCGCACTTGCTGAGCTTTGCGTACAAACGGTGCTCACGCAAGCGCTGCAGCACGGTCCGGACATGTCCCTCATGGCGAGCCGGGTCACGGGAGTAAATCAGTATGTCATCCAAATACACCACCACGTACTTGTCTAACAAGTCCTGAAACACGTGGTTGATGTAGCGTTGGAACACAGCAGGCGCGTTGCACAACCCGAAAGGCATAACCAAATATTCGAACTGCCCGTACCGGGTCCCAAACGCTGTCTTCCACTCATCCCCGGCTCGGATCCGAATCAAGTTGTAGGCCCCCCGGAGGTCCAGCTTGGTGAACACCTGTGCCCCTTGCACCCGCTCCAGCAGCTCCGAGATAAGGGGCAAGGGGTATCGGTCTGGGACGGTAATTTTGTTCAAGGCTCGGTAATCATGGCAAGGGCGGAGTTCCCACATTTCTTCTTAACGAAAAGCACTGGTGCCGCGGTAGGCGAGGTGGACGGCCTAATGAACCCACGCTCCAGGTTCTTGCGCAAGAAGTCCTGCAAAGCCTCGCGCTCTGGCTCTGTTAGAGAATATAAGCGACTCACTGGTAGAGGCGCTCCGGGTTGGAGGTCTATGCCGCAGTCGAAAGGCCGATGCGGCGGCAGCTGGTCTGCCCCCCCGTTCCTCGAACACGTCCTGGTAGTCCTGATACACGGCTGGGAGCGTGGGTGCTGCCTCCTCTGAGGGCGCGGCCGCCAGCGTCCCGGATTGAGCATGGGAACATGGGTCTGGGAAGTGCACGGTCCGTTTGACCCAGTGAATCTGAACGTTGTGGGCTTCCAGCCAGTCCATCCCGAGCACCAGGGGGAAGCGGGGCATAGAGGCAATGTCCAAAGTTCGCAACTCCCGGTGCTGCTGGAAACACAGGACCAGGGGCTGGGTCTCCTGAGTAACGGCACCTGAACACAGAAGTCGTCCGTCAATCGCTTCCACCTGGACCGGTACTGGCTTGTTCCGAAGTGGCACCTGATGATGGGCGGCAAAAGCAGCGTCCATATAAGAGCGGGTTGCCCCTGAATCCACCAAAGCATGGGTGGGGATCCAGGGCCCACCTGGAGGGTATAAACGTACCGGAACCATAAGATGTTGCGAGTCCATTGATGCAGGCCCATTCTGCGCGGTTTGGGACCCCGGCAGCTAGGGCCATCAGCTACTGGGGTTGGCGGCTTCCTGCGGCTGGCGTTTCTCAGGGCAAGACCGAGCGAAGTGTCCACTTCCGCCACAGTAAAGACAGAGATTTCCTCCCGACGCCGCGCCTTCTCTGCGGGGGAAAGGCGTGGCCGCACTGCCCCGAGCTGCATAGGCTCCTCCGTTAAATCAGTTGTGACCGTGGGGCTGCCGGAAAAGCTGGTGCCGTGAACTGGAAGTGTCGGCGACCCCGGGCCTGACGACGATCCTCCAACCGGTCGTCTATTTGTAGACTCCGTTGAATGAGAGTGTCTAGCGTGGTGGGGCGTTCCATTGTGGCCAACTGGTCCAGTACCTCGTCCGAAAGCCCTTCGAGATACTGGTCCCGCAGTGCCGAATCATTCCAGGTCAAGTCCTGTGCCAACAGCCGAAACTCCGTGGTATATGCGGCCACCGTGGACTTGCCCTGTTTCAAACGCCGAATCGCCCGGTTGGCTTGACTCCCTTTCTGGGGGTTGCCGAACGCGGCCTCCAAACGATTGCAAAACCCCGTATAGTCTGCCAGCAAGGGGGAGTCTTGCCTGAGTAGCGGCAACGCCCACTTGGCCGCCTGGTCCTTTAACAAACTAATCAAAAAGTGCACCTTGGTGCGGTCGTCAGGAAAGTTCCGGGCTCGCCCCTGAATATACAGCTTGGCCTGGGCCAGGAACATGGGAAAGCTGGCCGGGGCTCCATCAAATTTCTCAGGCAAAGCCACTGGGTACTTGCCAGGAGCCGAGGCGTCGGCCCCAGGAGCCGGTAGGGCTTCCAAGCGTTGTTGAAGTGCCACAACCGCGTCACTGAGCTGCTGCACGGTGTGAGTCAAGGCCTGGTTCTTCTGGGCCAAAGCCACCAGTGCAGCCGCCTGGTCAGCCATGGCCTCTGGCTCTTCCCGAACGCACCCCTACGAAGGGGGAGTGCGGGTTTGGCGGGAGCAAACTGTGCTGGTCCCGGGGTAAGGTACCTTGGGTGTAGCAGAGTCCACACGAAGAGGGGCAAGGTCCGAGGCAGAGAGCCGGGCGGGGAACAGGAATGCTGGAACAGGAGGCTGTGCAGGGAACAGGAACACCGGATGGTCGGGAACAGGAGGCCGAGCAGGGAACAGGAGTACCGGATAGTCAGGAACAGGAAGCCGAGCAGGGATCAGGAACACAGGAAGGTCCGAAGCCAACAACGACGTTGCTCCCGCAACCTGGGGCCGGGCTGACTGGGCTTTTATCCTCTTCTAAGGCCAGGGGCGGTCCCGGTCCCCAGGAGCCCCGCCTCCTCTGGCCTTAAGGCGAGCACTCCTCCTGGGGGCAACCAGTTCCCTTCGCCTCTCTGCCCTAAGCCTCTGCAGATCAGGAGAGGCCGAAGGGTTACTGGGCCCTGGAGGAGGCTCACCTGTGGCCACTGAGTCATCAAGCCCCTCTGGGGCCCGAAGGGCTTCACCTGGGGCCAGCTCCTGATGCACTGCCACAGGTGCAGGCTCTTCAGCATCAAGGCCTTGCCCCAGTTCAGCCGGCCCTGGAGGCGGGGACTCCTGTGCAGGCCGGGATTCCTCTGTTTCATCCTCCGAATCGGAATCCCAGGCCATCACACCCAGATTCCTTTAACAGAATGCCCTTATTCATGGAGGGGCAGGTGATGGCTGCACCTCCCCTCCCACACAGCTCCTCAAGCCAATGCCTAACTGCCAAACCTTACAAAGTTGTGACGATTGCTAAGGGGGTAGGCAAAAACCAAGTGGCCAGTGCCAATCTGCCAAATGGAAAAATCCCTACCCGGTCCCTGTTCCAAAACAGGCAACCACACCATGTCCGAAGCAAGGCCGAAGCAAAAAACCCACCCATAGGGACGGGAGGGCGGGTGTTCAGCAGTGCGAAGCAAGCGCCATTGGCCACATTGTGCTGCCGCTTTTATAGCCCCACAATCACGCCTCCGTAACCGGATTGGCACAAGCAGCCTGGCGTGACTGTGGGGCTGTACTGTAAACTTACCCACCCCAGGACCCTACCAATAAATTGGGGGGTGTCCTGAGGCACGCGTGCAACCAGGACCCTCTCTGAGGAGGATCCCATTTATGAATACACACACAATTCCACGTACAGTTGGATCTTGCTTTAACTATGGCAATGGAATAGCATCCTTCAGTGCATAAGAAGCAGTGAGTAAGTTGAAGAGGAGCAAGGAAGTTCTATGACACTCATAGCTCCGGTTTCCTGCAGAGGGCAATGGGCAGGGAACTCAGTAGGAATGGCTGAGGTGCTTTCTCTACTGCCTCGCCCCACGACCTGCAAACCTGAGGCAAACGTCTCAGTCTACCTAATGGTAGAGCTGGCCTTGATTCCATGACACAGTGCCCCTTGGGAACAGTGCAATGTTATGCTGTTGTGTCATTTCCATGGGGTTTTCTGGGAGTGGTGAAGGGGAGTGGCAGCCCCCAAAGAGGAAAGGAAGAATCAAACCCCTCATACTGCTACTCCTTTCTAGGCTGCCCTACGTCCATGTGTCTGGATTTTGTGTCCAGATTTTCACTTTTTGAAATATGGCAACCCGCCACTACCAGTTACCAGAGAAGGAAAGGAAAGGAAAGGAAAGGAAAGGAAAGGAAAGGAAAAAGGAGTGTGTGTTGGGGGTGGGAATTGTTAAGGGGTGCTTTCAGGATAGGAGGCATTTTTCTGAGCCTCAGATTGACTTGAAAATAAGGATCTATTTATATTGTTATGGGAATTCAACTGGGCTTCTAGAATGAATGGGTTGTTTGCAGCTAATTGGGACAACTTCATTGGATATAAACCCATGTAATTGAAACACAGTTTAACATTATTATATAGTTAGTATATAGTTACTTATACCCACCCCTTTTCCCTGACAGGGAGTCAAGGCAGCTTACTGATAAAAATAACAACAGCTAAACACATGAGGAAAAGCAATAATTAGATTTGTACTCTTGTGTTTGCTAGAAATCATTCTAGGAATGTCAATGTCTGTTCTAAGAACTACTTCTAAGACATGAATAAGTTTTTAGTGGGCAAAAGCCTGGAGCAAGCATATATTCTTTAACTGACTTTATATAGAACATTGCCATAACAATATAAATTGAAATTTCCCATTGGAAACAGAGGAGGCAAAAAAGAAGAAGGAGCTTAGAACAATAAGTCTCCAGACTTAATACAAATGGATTTGTAGAGTCAGATTCAAAGATGTGTAATTAACACTTTCTGAAAACTACTACATAATCTATCCTAATTTGAATGACAGTTATAATGCCATCCAGATGACAAGGACTATGAAAATTTAGCCAGAATCCAAAAAAAAAAAGGTCAAAGGGATATTGAATGTCTTTATTTTTCTTTTTTTGGTCTAAAAGCCCTGAAATGTAAGCATCCCAGACACTGCTTCCAGCAGTTATGTAATTACCGAATTGTCAGTAATTGTTTATTATGCTATTTGCTCTTTTCTGCATTGTTTCTGCAATTTACATTTTATCAGCAAGCCGCAGTCAGTAGGAATCAGATGCTGTCGGTTTGAGAACTGCCTTGAAACCTACATTAACATTCATGTCTCTTGACAACCCCCTCAAGTTCCGTCCATGTAACAAAATTCGCCCTTGTTCAAAAGGCCACATCATTCTTATTTATGGATTTGGTTTTTGCAGGAGGGGGGCTGGGGAGAGATTTCATTATGCATTGTACCTAATACCCAGAGCGATGCAAAGCAGCCATTGTGTAGTCATTAGAGGAAGTGAGAGACCTAAAAGTGGCAATGTGCAGCTTGGGTAATGAATGTTTGGACAACTGAGAAACCCATTGGTTTTGCAGACAGAACTGGTTGTGCATTGTAACAGAAAACAAAGTGCTAACAAACAAACAAAATCCCTACATGATATCTGTAATGGCTTGGGTCTCTCCCACAGAAGCGAGACAACTCCGGCAGTAATTATCTCAGATTTATTGCTCAAACATGTAAATCACTGTGGAGCTCAGTCCTCGGCATCTTCTCCCAAGTTTGCTGTTGCTGAGTCTGAGCTCCGCCTCTTCCTCCCCAGCAACGAAACCCCCACTTTCGTTTTCTTTCTTGTTCCCGCCTCTCACATTTTCTTGCGAGCCTACGCGTTTTTGGACAGGCTATTTCCGGTGCTCCTGCTTCTGAGCCCGAACTTGAGCTGACCGTTTGTGTTTTCCCCCTTGGACTTCCCCCTTCCTGCAATTTGTACTCAGAATTGAAGTTTCTCCTACAGATCGGCTGCCCTTCCCTTGTTTTGCATTCCAGGCTTATCTCATCTCCTTGGCTCTCAGCCTCTGCTAGCTGTGTCTGGTCTCTGACAACATCTCTCCAACTTCCATATATTTTATGCACACCCAGCCCTAAGGCTGAGTCTATACATGACACTCAACCATCGTTTCCCGTTGTCTGCAGGCCACCTGCACTCTGTTGCCAACTAATAAAGTAAAACCAGTTTTGCACATCCCAACTCAGTTCTCACTGGAATGTTGTTGTGTTCGTCCTTTTGCTCTTTTTAAAGCAAAGCAAAACCAAACAAACACCTGTTTTGTATATCTGCATACCTTGGATACCTCCCTAGCATACTGATACCCAGGGCTCCCCCCCCCCCAGCCAGAACTCACTGCAACTCATCCAGCTTGAGTAATTGCAGGGACTGATATAGGTATGCGAACCAACCATTCTCCTAATCCAAGGAAAAATTCAAAAAAATAGAAGGGCACACCAACCAGCAGGAATAATCAAAGATAGAAGGGGATTTCAGGGGTGGCATAAATTAAATTTGGTCCAACATACTGTGGAAATATAGACATGTGGACATAGTGATAAGAATTTAGTCACAACTAGCATTCTTAACCAATGGTTTTTTAACCATACAAAATGGAAGGAGGGAGAGAGACTGTTTCTCTTCTGATTACATTATTCACCCCAAGTACAAATCATTGCTTCTACACATACAATTGTTCAGCCTAACAGTAATTCAGGGAATAAAGACTGATTCAAGGGAAATGATTCAAAAATAGGAACTTAAGCTGTTCGTTGCCTTCTCACACTATGCCCAAAGAAACAAAGGCAGGAAATGATCCAGCACATCTCCATTTTATAAGCACTTAGATTGGGAATAAAATATTACAACTGTCAGTTTTTGGTCTTCTTATAACTGCCTCCAAGCTTACAGAAGTAGCATAAGAATGAGACACTTGCGAACATGGTCCCAAACAAATTAAATCTCACATGTCTCAGCCTGCTTGTTGCTTACTTGATATATTTGTGTGTGTGTGTGTGTCCCCAATAAACACACACTGTGAGATCCCCATAAAACTGAGTGGCATTTATCTCATGCCAGGAAATGTTAAGCAGATACAAGCTGGACATTTGTACGGATTAGAAGCTGCATAGAAGGAAACGATTATGGGTGTGTATATATATAGCTTGTAAGAATTTCTTTTTCATGGGATAAATCAGAACTTTTAGGACAGGATAATTAGTGGAGGAAAAGCTGTGAAGAGCTTGGTGATAGTCTGCATTTATCAAGAGTAATTGAAAATGCATTGATGGGCAGCAGTAGTACTCAAACGTACGATCACGGTCCAGTTTTATGGTTGCTGGAGATACTTGTACAAGCCAAGACTAGATCTTATCTGCTCTCAGCGCACTACAAGGGTGTCCAAGGAGAGTTCATAGAAACTGAACCATTTCCTTGCACAACTGAGTTTGTATTCTTTTTGCTGTTTGGTACTGAAAATTTGAGAATAACTTTCAGAAAAAGTGGTCTGTGCTCCTGGGTTTATTACAGTGTCTCCATGGAAGATCTGTGGTGAAAGAGTTGTATAAGGTGTTGGGATACTGCCAGGGAGACAAAGTCCATCATGGCCCCAAGCCGTCTGCCGG